CCAGGAGGCAGAATGCCAGAGGTGGAGGAGAGAGAGGGAGAGAGGTGATGAGGAGGAGGAAGGGCTGCAGACTCCTTCAGGAGGCAGAATGCCAGGGGTAGTGGAGAGAGAACAAGGAGAGTGTTCCTTTTGCCAGCTTTACCCACACACTCTGCTCTGAGCTTTCTTTGCCGTTTTCCCTCTGTACTTTCTCCTTTCCCAGACCTGTGGGAGCTTTGTGTATCCTCCTCCACAGGTGAAAGATAATCAACAAGTACTTTACCACTCACTAGATACCTAGGAGCGACACAGGTAGTATATGACTCAGCACCTGCCTTTGCAAAGGTTACGATGTTAAGGAACGAAAAGTTTCATATGTGAAACTGTAAAAGAAAAGTAATACACATCTCTTAAATACTAAATTGCATAGTAACTGGACAGTAAAGTAATTCAGTGTATTTTGGTGTCTTTGGGGGATTTCTAGTTCTAAAGTCATTCAGAATAATTTTAACAGTCATTTATATTCTTTATCTGCTTTTATTCACTAACCTCCAGTCGCCTAACTGGAACCCTCACCTGTCCTTAACTTTTAGACTAGACTGTGAACCATCCTGAACTCCAACAGGAGTCATACTTTGAAAGCCACTTTAATGAATGGCAGAATAGTTATTCTACCTGATTCCCCAGCTGTGTAGAGTAATTCAGCCTGTCAATCATCCTGAGCCTTGGATTTGTTTTATTTTTTAGTAGCTAGTAGATTTTTACAATAAAGTTCTGCCACTTATAGGTAACTCTGGGTGCCTTTGGGCATGAAGAAGAGGTTATCTCTAATCCTCTGTCTCCAAGAGTGATTAAGAACATCATCTATTATAAGTGTAACACCCATGATGAGAGGGAAGCGGTCATCCAGCAAGAACTGGTCATCCATATTGGCTGGATCATCTCCAATAACCCTGAGTTATTCAGCGGCATGCTGAAAATACGAATTGGGTGAGTAAAATACTTTCCATTTGCATAAAGAGAGTTGCTCAAGTTACCCTCTAACAGACTTGGTCACTCTTGAGTAAACTACTGTCCCAGATCAGGTGGGAATTTAGGAAAGTGCCTCTGTCCCCTAAGCCATTGAGGCAGCATCCTCATGTCTCTATAACTCCCAAGTTAGATACAGTGAAGTGACCCTGTGCTCTGGTAAAATCAAACCCCAGGGATTTAAACAGCTGCATCATGTTAAACACTAATACTTGTAAAGATATCTATAAAATTGGATAATCTATAAGAGAGCAATGATCTCAAGTAAAACTGGGGTGTCAGGAGGCCACACCCTAATAAGAATTTGGCCCGTTTAAGAATATTCTGCCACAGTTTTCTACCAAACTATTTCTTAATCATTAAAATCATAAGTGTTCTGTTTGGAGAAGAAATTGAAAGTAGGGCTCTGGTGATCTTGAATATTCTTAATCAAGAATTTTGTGAGGCAGCATGGTATAGGGAAACTGTACCATGCTCTGGCGCTGAACGGAACTTAGTTCAAGTATTGACTGTCATTTATCATCTGGGCAACCTTGGGTGAGTTACTGAACCTCTCTAGCCTCACTTTAATACCAACCTCATTGTTCTGTGTGAAAGTGAAATGGGGTCATATGTTTAAAATGCCTACCACAGCCTAATACAATATAAGTAGTTCTTCTGTTTCTTTCTTTTTTTTAAATGTCTGATTGCACAGGTAGCATGTGAGTATGTTCTAATTGTAAAGGAGTCAAACAATACCTGAACATATAGAGTAACCCTTTCAGGATCCGTGAGATATACATTTGCCCACCCACTTTTTTGGACTCTCAGGTTTTTTGAGACACTACTTTTCTCGCTAAAAGTATTTGCTGCCCTCCAGTGAGGACTTGTGTAATGGTGACAGGTGAAAGAAATGTTAACTGAAGCAAAATAGCTGAGGTAGAAGGCTTAAATGTGAGGTAGTGCATCCAGGAAATGTGACTGGCTAAAACCTTTATCTCTTTTGGCTTTTGTATGTCTAGATAAGCCTTGTAAGCATATTTATGGTTTCCTATGTGATAGAGAGCCCTGGTGGGTTTGGTTTGTGTGTGTGTGTGTGCATGCGCACATACGTGCGTGTGTATGTGTGTGTGATACTTGGAAAGCTAGAGGTGCCCAATGTACACCAATGGAAGACACCCTGCAGTATGCCTTGCCACCCAGGTCCAATGGGACAGACGGTGTCCACCAATCATAGCACCCGAAAACCCCCTTAGTTTTGTGGTAACCATGTATTCCCAGATAATATTTCTCAAAATCCATATTAAGAAAACCCATTGCCTCCAAGTCAATTCTGACTCATAGCAACCCTATAGGACAGAGTAGAACTGCCACATAGGGTTTCCAAGGAGCAGCTGTTGGATTCGAACTGCCAACCTTTTGATTAGCAGCCGAGCTCTTAACCACTGTGCCACCAGGGCTCCAAAATCTGTATTACCAGCCAAGAATTTAAACACATTCCATGACTTAGCATGCTTCCATTAATGAAAATGGATGGTATAAAAAATAAATAAATAAAAAAATAAAGCAGAAAATAATTGGATCTTGAAAGGGTAACCTAACACGTGGCCAATATTTTGGGGTGTTCCTCAAGTGTTTGAAAAGAATATATATTCCCTGTTGGGTACAAATATATGTGTATGCATGTGAGTGAGAAGAAGTATTTGTATAGCTTGCTAAGTGTATAATTATACTTTTAATATCATTACTATTTCTATTTTACTTGATCCTTGATTGCTGATAAAAATCTTATAAAGTTTTTCATTATAATTGTAGACTTGTTATTTCTCCTTGCATTTTTATAGTTTTGATTTATATATTTTGAAACTTTGTATTCATCCATGTGATTTCATGACTTTTTTCAGTATTTCTTCCTTTTTGTCATTTATTGTTTTTTACCTTAATTATTTAAACTTTTTTTGAAAAATGTGTGTGAAAAATCTATAAAATTATAGAAAGTAGTATAATGAAGCCCCACGTGCCCATACTGTTACCCAACTTCAACAAGATCATCATATGACCAATCTTATTTCAGCCATTGCCCAGCTACTACCCACCTCCATGCCTCCCTCTAGATTATTTTAAGGCAAATCTATCATATCATCTAATCTGTAAATATTTCATTGTGTATCTGTAAGACATTATTATTTATGTCATACATATTATTATTATGTCATACATAAATAATAATTGAATTATCCTTTGTCTAATATTTTTACTACACTTGATTTTTTTGTCGTTATTAGCTTAGTATACCATCTTTCTCCCCACATGTCTGTCAGTTTGTCGAACTGTGGGGGCTTGCGTGTTGCTGTGATGGTGGAAGCTATGCCACCGGTATTCAAATACCAGCAGGGTCACCCATGGTGGACAGGTTTCAGCTGAGCTTCCAGACTAAGACAGACTAGGAAGAAGGACCTGGCAGCCTACTTCTGAAAAGAATTAGCCAGTGAAAACCTTATGAATAGCAGCGGAACATTGTCTGATATAGTGCTAGAAGATGAGTCCCACTAGGTTAGAAGGCACTCAAAAGACGACTGGGGAAGAGCTGCCTCCTCAAAGTAGAATCAACCTTAATGATATGGATGGAGTCAAGCTTTCAGGACCTTCATTTGCTGATGTGACATGACTCAAAATGTGAAGAAACAGCTGCAAACATCCATTAATAATCGGAACGTGGAATGGATGAAATATGAATCTAGGAAAATTAGAAGTCGTCAAAAATGAAATGGAACACATAAACATTGATATCCTAGCCATTAGTTAGCTGAAATGAACTAGTAGTGGCTATTTTGAATTGGACAATCATATGGTCTACTATGCCAGGAATGGCAGCTTGAAGAGGAATGGCCTTGCATTCATCCTCAAAAAGAACGTTTCAAGATCTGTCCTGAGATACAAGAGACCAAAGGGGCAGCTTCTGTCCAGAGGTGAGATGGGAAGGCAGAGAGGGTTAGAAGTTGGTTGAATGGACATGGGGAATTAGGGGCGGAAAGGAGGAGTGTGCTGTCGCAGAATGGGGTGAGCAATTAGGGTCACATAACAATGTATGTATAAAATTTTGTATGCAAGACTAACTTGAAATGTAAACTTCATTTAACTACAACAGTAAAAAGGAAAAAAAAGATTTGTCCTGAAGTACAACACTGTCAGTGATAGGATAATATCCATACGTGTACAAAGAAGACCAGTTAATACAACTATTATTCAAATTTACGCACCAACTACTAAGGCCAGAGATGAAGAAATTGAAGATTTTTACCAGCTTCTGCAGTCTGAAACTGATAGAACATGCATTCAGGATGCATTGATAATTACTGGAGATTGGAATGTGAAAGTTGTAAACAAAGAGGAAGGATCTGTAGTTGGAAAATATGGTCTTGGTGATTGAAACAATGCAGAGATCGCATGATAGAATTTTGCAAGACCAATGACTTCTTCATTGCAAATACCTGTTTTCACCAACATAAACAGCAACTGTACACATGGACCTCACCAGATGGAATACACAGGAATCAAATCGACTACATCTGTGGAAGGAGACAATGGAAAAGCTCAATATCATCAGTCAGAACAAGGCCAGGGACCGACGGCAGAACAGACCATCAATTGCCCATATGCAAGTTCAACTTGAAACTGAAGAAAATTAGAACTAGTCAACAAGAGCCAAAGTATGACCTTGACTATGTCCGACCTGAATTCAGAGACCATCTCAAGAATAAACTTGACACGTTGAACACTAATGGCCGAAGACCAGATGAATTGTGGAATGACACCAAGGACATCATACATGAAGAAAGCAAGAGGTCATTAAAAAGACAGGAAAGAAAGAAAAGACCAAAATAGATGTCAGAAGAGACTCTGAAACTTGCTCTTGAACGTTGAGTAGCTAAAGCGAAAGGAAGAAATGATAAAAAAGTTGAACAGAAGATTTCAAAGGGCGGCTCAAGAAGACAAAGTCAGGTATTACAATGACATGTGCAAAGACCTGGAGATGGAAAACCAAAAGGGAAGAACATGTTCTGCATTTCTCAAGCTGAAAGAACTGAAGAAAAAATTCAAGCCTCAAGTTGCAATAGTGAAGGATTCTATGGTAAAAATATTAAATGGCTCAAGAAGCATCAAAAGAAGATGAAAGGAATACACAGAGTCACTATACCAAAAAGAATTGGTTGACATTCAGCCATTTCAGGAGGTACTATATGAGCAGGAACCAATGGTACTGAAGGAAGAAGTCCAAGCTTCACCAAAGGCATTGGCAAAAAACAAGGTACCAGGAATTGACGGAATACCTTTCCACCTCTAATTTCCCGTGTCCATTCAACCAGCTCCTGACCCTCTCTGTCTTCTCATCTCACCGCTGGATGGGAGCTGCCCATTTAGTTTCGTGCATCTACTTGAGCTAAGAAGCACGTTCTTCGCGAGTATGGTTGTATGTCCCATAGTCCAGTCTAATCTTTGGTTTTAGTGCTGGGTTGGCAGAGAGTCCGGGGGCCATGCTTTCTGGGGTTCCTCCAGTCTCCAGTCAGACCATTAAGTCTGGTCTTTTTACTAGAATTTGAGTTCTGCACTCTACTTTTCTCCTGCTCCAACAGGGTCTCTCTGTTGTGTTCCCTGTCAGGGCAGTGATTGGTGGTAGCTGGGCACCATCTAGTTCTTCTGGTCTCAGGCTGTTGCAGTCTCTGGTTTATGTGGCCCTTCCTGTCTCATGGGTTAATGCTTTCCTTGTGACTTTGGTGTTCTTCATTCTCCTTTACTCCACGTGGATTGGGAGCAATTGATGCATCTTAGATGGCCACTCACTAACTTTTAAGACCCCGGACACCACTGACCAAAGTAGGATGCAGAACATTTTCTTAATAAACTTTGTTATGCCAATTGACCCAGATTCAAAGATGTCACCTTGAAGACTAAGGTGCGCCTGACCAAGCCATGCCGTTTCC